TTTTTCTTTTCTCTTTTTTTTTTTTTTTTTTAATTTGTTTTCAAAAGTATGAACTGGCTGAGCATTAGCTCACAAAAATGATCCAGGGCATCCAAAAAGTTAAATGGCTATAGACACCGAAGCAAAGACCTCTTTTGCAAAAGAAAGAAAGAGGAGGAAGGAAGGAAGGAAGGTGAGGAAGTATGGAAAAGAGGAAGGAGGAGAGAAAAGAAAAGGGATCTTCTGTTTGATTGGCTTTATGGGTTTTGTTGGATTGTTTACATTGCAGCATCCTCCGGCGACGCGATCCTTGCTGGTGCCCCATTCTCTCCCTCGGTTCGTGTTGCCTCCTAGACAGTCAGTGACTTGACAGCCGGCTTTTCAGGTTTTGGATTAAATGTTGCTGAGTCTTCTTTGCTGTAATTTTTCCTCTCCCCCCTCTTCACTCCTGAACACACAAAAGTTGTGAAAGAAACAGTCGTCTCTCTCTCTCCCCCCCCTTTTTTCTCTCTCCCCTCTCTTCGCTCTGTCTCCTGTATAACGCATTTTGTTTTGTGTGTTGTTGTCGTTGTCGTGTTGTTTTTTTAATTATTATTAATATTATTATTTTTAATTCTGATTTGTATTAACATTTGCTGAGTAGGCAGAGCAGGGACGCTGCCAGCAGCCACAGTGGGACGGCCAAACTCATGGAGCCGTTGTCTACTCTCCCTGTGCCGGGTCCTGCAGGGTGTGAGAAGGGAGAGAAAAGAAGACAAGATTACACATGGCTGGGTGAGATAGGGATAACACAGGAACACAACACTTCACTCCCGGGCTGGGGCTGCAGGGCACAGCCGCCTTCCCACTTCAGTGAGCTCCCTCCAGCCCAGGTGCAGGCTGCTGCCTGGCAGCTGCTCAGCATGCTCCTTCCCTCTGTCCAACACTCCAATGGCATGTGGTTTTCCCTAAACAACACTCAGGCTGGAGCAAGCGGGAAGGCTCAATCCCGGCTGCTAACCACATCCCATCCTTTGCTGTGCCTCCAGCTGGGAACTGCTGGCCTTCCAACATGAGAACACGGTTCACACCTTTGCAGACACAGCCCCTAGTCACCAGCTCCACAGCTGCCCGCTCTGCCACCTTCCCAGTGGTGGCCCTGAGATGCCAGGACTCCTTGTAATAGTGTGCAGTGGCCAGTGCCTGTCTGCAGCAAGACACCAGCTCCGCAGGAGCTGATTCATCACAGTGGTCTGATCAATAAAACATGGGGCCAACACGCGGACGTCTCCCCTCCCTCATACAGGCTGCACTGCAATTAAGTGTTTCTGAATTGGAGAGAAGGCAGGCTTCGCTACTGTGTTTATGGCCCTGTGACGCGACACCTATGGGGTGAGGGTGCAGGGTATGCCAGGGAGGTTGATTTTTCACAAGGGTGGGAAATGAAGTTGCATATGTGTGCATGCACATCCACAGGCTCTGTCAGAGCAGGCAGGGAGGAGCATGCTGCTGCAGCAACAAATAATGCAGCCTCACTCCAGGAATATTAAGCGCTAACACTCCTGACATCTTCTCATTCATCCACTCATTTATGAGTCCCCTTTTCTGGATGGCTTTAACGGCAGTGATACTGTTTTAAATTCACCCTGCAACACCAGTCTCTGGCAGTCTTTTCTTTATAATAGGCAGGGAGATGTACATGGCTGTGGTTCTGTAAATGCATGCCCGCCATGCATATGTGCACATATGGCTACACATATATGTACATTTTTTTATATGTATATGTACACATGCATGCACACACATGTATATGTACATGCCTGTGTACATGTACACATATACATATAAGTGTATACACATATACATATAAGTGTATACACATATACATATAAGTGTATACAAACACACATATGTTTGTATGTGCAGTGTTTTACACAGAAGAGGTGCAGGAAAATGCTGAAGTGTGGAGATGGGAGATGAGTTCTTGTGTTGGAACTGATTGTGCTGTAGAAGACAGAAGTCATGCTTACTACCATGAGAAGCAAATTCTGATATCTAAGGGATGCCAGAAAAAAAAAAAAGGCCCTGTCGAGGAGAGCCCTGTGAGACCAAAGTGCAACTTGCCCTCTCACAACCTGCAGAGTTTATCAGGCAAAGACCCTCACTCTACTGCGTGGTGCACGGGTGCCACAGGCACGCTCAGCAGCACGTTCACTATTAAACTTGAGCTGGTGACTGAAAGGCAGCAAATCGAAGAAGGATATCTTCAGAGCCTCTGAAATTCTTCAGCACTTTCATTTGTCTGATTTCTTCCTAATGTAGCCTGTTACTAGATTAGCTGTTTGTGCCCCAATTCTATTCTTTCATTATTAAGAAAGTATGTGCTGGACTGTGTGGAAAATTTATATTCCGTCTATGGCTTCTTTTTTCTGCTAGTCCATGCATGTCTTTTGTGGCTTGTCACACAAATCCTACAATACTGTTTTTTTACTCCTTTTTTTGGGTGACAGGAACTTATTTCCCCCTCTGAGATCAGGAACACGTTTAAACTCAGCTACTACCCTTACCTGACCTATGTTTCAGAGAAAACATCTTTCACTGTCAAATAATTGTAGGGAGGCTGTTTGGGACCATTTGCATCCCTTATTGCCAGTGAAGAAGTTCCAAAACATGACTCCTCTGGCCCATCAGATAATCAAGAGCACACCAGGCAGTCTGTGTTGCCCACACAAAATCTTCTGCCATCACATTTTTACTATTTGTCTTAAATACTATTTGTTTTAAATAGTATTTGTTTGAACACATACATTGACATGTATGTAACACATACACACATGGCAGCAATCCTCCTCCTTGTCACTTTTCCAGGGTACCCACACAATCAGAGCCAAAGGCATATGCACCGATGGTGGCTTGCAACTCATATCCAGCACAGCGGAGGTAGAGGGATGTTTGGCCTTGGCTGGGTACTGCTGCCTTGATACATATAAGTGCATAGCTCGGGGTTTGTGAGCTTGGTGGGGGCCAGAGGCATGGCATGGTGTGGCATGGTATGGTAAAGAGATGTCCTTCTGCAACACGTAGGTATAAGAAAGGACACCCAAGGAAACATGGTGTGATGAAGGACTTGGGAGAATGTCAGGCCACTTCTGTTCTGCTTGAGCTTGTGTGTATAAGCTTCAGGGTATCTGACAAGCCAAAACTCCCATCTCCACAGATAAAAAATGGTGCGAGTTACACAGTGTCATGTTTCCCCACTAAGCTCCTGTGAGTGCCAGTGAGGTGGTGAGGCTGCTACAGTCACCTCTTAGGTGCAGTCCTGATCATCTTCTGCACCTCACTTCATGCAAATACCAGCAGCTGTCTGCACCAAGGGGCTGTGTGTAGCTGTGCAGGTGTCGGGCAGAGTTTTATGCTGACTGTGAGGCCTGGCATCCAGTGTGGTCCCTGCATGAAACCCTGGGGGCCACGTGTAATCTCTGGGTTTTACAGCAGAACTGGTTTAAGTACATGCCACGGATGATACATTTACTGTCACATGTACTGCAAAAATGGGGAAAGGTTATAGTTCGATCACAAAATAAAATTCTCGAAGGCTTTTGGGGGGCACTAATTGCTCAAGTGTAATAAAGAGCGAAAATGTAAGAATAAAATGAAATATTAATTTCGAGTGAGATTTTGTGCAGAAAATAGCTCCCATTTTCAATTCACTCTATCACTTTCGCCATTCCTTCCCAGACACAACTTGGGCTTTGACAGCCCACGCTAGCGTGGTGACTCCTCTTTTGTCTCTCCTGCTGTGGGGTGCGTCCGCCTCTGCCGCGGGCACCACGGCACCCACAGGGCCACGGGCGAACGCCCAGCCCCCGCAGCGATCACCGCGCTGCCCAACACGCACGGATGAGCGCTCACCCCCATGCCCCGCACCTGCACGCTACCCTCCCGCAGGGGTGGCCACGCACACGCAGCCGTGCCCATGCCCACAGCCCCCCAGGCCTGCGAAGGCCGGCCCGCCCCGCCCGCAGCCCCGCCGCGCCCCGGCACGCGGTCTCCGGCGCTCCCTGGCGGCCGCCGCCGGAGCCGCCCCCGCCCGGTGCCTCCCGCTGAGACCCCCCAGAAAAGCCCTCGCTCGGCCCGCCTGCGCTCCCCTGCTACATCTCCGCCCGCACCGGGGGCTTCGGGGCTGTCCCTGCGCTCTCCCGCTTCGGTAACCTTGAGCCTGTGGCCTGGGCATTTGCTGCAATATCCCGGGCTAATCACTGCCCGGCCGCAATTGGGAAGCCCTGCCAAGTCCCTGACCCCGCAACAGCTTTCAAGGGAGTGTTCTTCCACCACAGACAGGGAAGGAAATTGAGTTTCTGATGATGATGATTATGAGTGAATATGAATATCTGGCAGCTTTTCACAGATAAACTCCCAGGGGACCCAAGACCCTAAATGCTGACCGAGTCAGATTCCATTAAGCAAATCAAGAAGGAGCAGACGGAAAATCAGCAAGGGCAAAATGACTGCACTGCTCTTCCCTGCTTCAAATGTGAGACATTTCGATACCTGGTGCAGATGCAGGTGGAGCCCTACAGTGCGTCATCATGCTGCAACAACCTCACAGGATGCTGTGCCCTGCATTTCCAAGGGTTTATCTGTGCCACATGTTCACCCTGGGTGATCTGCACTGGTATATACCACAGAATAGCCTTGGCCAAGATTTAGAAAGCTATAGTTCTCTGAGGGCTGAAGAGGACCATGTGGAGTCCCCATCCCACTCCTCTCCCCAAGACCAGGTAACCCTAGCTGCATCCTTAAATTTAACCATGGGAAAAACAGAGCCATGCCACTGACCTTGGTGCTCCTACTCACCTGCATGCGTGTAATGGCCCTGTATACTAGCCCTGCACAGAGAGGTTCCAGGACTCTTTTCCTGACACTTCTGGGAGAACTTCTATGTACTTTTGAGTAGGGATGAGAAGGGGTGGTGAGGCCCTTAAGCATGCGACTTCAGTGATTTCACCTGGTGCCTCACTCCTGAGGCAAACTCTTCCATGCAGCATGAAGTGGAAGAGTTGCTGCATGCTCTCATGTGCAGAGGACTGCAAGCTCGGCTAGCCCAGGTTTCACTGGAGAGGATAGGTATGTATGCTACTATACCATAATTTTCCTGGTATAGCTGTAAAGCTTGTGTGTGTGCATGTGTGTGTGAGATGACTCAACTACTACTCCTACTCCTGTGAAGAGTGTAGGAAAAGACATAGCAAGAAAAATGGTGGGACTTGGATGAGATGGCAGAGGGAGAGGGCAAAAGCAGGGTGCTGCTTCCACTCACAGCAAACCACACTCAGATTGCAAAGCCAAGAGCTGCTCTCTTCCTCAGAAACAGTCTGCCTCTAGGAGAAGCATACCACAAGAAAAGACCTTTGCTGGGTCAGTCCAAAGGTCTTTTCTAACTTTCAGTCCTGTCCCCTGTGGGTGCTGGGTGAGTAGTACATGGCCAGCATGGCCTGCCTCTGGTGCTTCAGAGACATCCTGAGCCAGCAGAAGCTGCACCCCTTGAGAGATTACATGAACTTGTTCAGTCACTTCTGGACTGCCTGAAAACTTCCATATCCACAATCTCCCTTAGCTCTTTAAGGAGCACAGTGGCAGTCAGCTTCCAGCAATGACATTATGGCCACACATTAAATTTGGGTGCTATGTTCTCCTGTGACTTTAGGACCTTGACATTAACATGTGGCCACTACCTGCTACTA